GGATGTCAACATTGGTTCTTTGTTGATGATGATGAGACTATTCCAACATTGTCACTTGTGAGCTTTTGCTGTGCTCTTATTTGGTGGAACTCGTGTTGCAATTCTGCTTTTGGTTCGAGGTCACGACTATCTGGTCTCATGTGTATGATGCTGCTTTCTGAAGTTCGCTATCGCTCATTTTCCTTCCAATTTGGTATCAGAGCTGTGGTACGCTGCGCTAATCTGGCGCTTGTCTTCTGCCTATGTGATACATGCATACGGTCTGCTGGGTGAGCGGCCGTAGGGAGTGTGTAGTGAGGAGGGCGAAGGCAAGCAGGGCGACCCAGGAGGTGAGGGGTATCACCAGGAAGGGCTACGTGGTGTATACTGGGTGTTCGCAGTGTGATGAGAACTATCTGATGTGCTATTGATGCTGAGGTGGAACAGTGGTGTAATGCTGGTTGTGCCGAAGCAGCGATTGGTCATCACAATCGGCATCAGGTCATCTGGTGAGAATATCTGTGGTTGGGGGCAGCTATTTTGAGGTACGTTGCACCTAACCTTATCTACCCTCTTCGACACTTCTTACCGTGAGGATGTGTGTTCTGTCTTGAGAGTCCTCTCATGTGAGGAGTCGAGTGCACTCAACCTTGAGAGTCGGCATTGTTCACGTGGAGCATCTGGAAGGAGAGGGCGGAGCTATCTGAAGGGCCCTGGACGAAGCACTGGGTCACGGTCACCATGCCTACCCACCGGGAATAGAGCACGCATGCTTTGCTGCTTTGTCCTTTGTCTGCCTGCTGCGCTGATAGATGGGTGATGAGGGGCAGGCCAGCCCTACTGGGGAGACGAGCACCGGGCGTCTATAAATAAGCACCGGTGGGGTTACCTTCCATTGGCTGTGATCGTCGTCCTGTCTTCGACGTTAAATCATTCCTCGGGACTGCGGGGGCCATCCTTAGACGCCTCCTGATCAGCCAATCGGTCAGTGTAAGGCTCGCTGCACGCGAGGATAAACATTGTGCAGGGCTGGCCAGCTCAGCATACACTCGGGGCACAGGGGCGGGCCGTGTGCACACCTTTAGACACGCACGCTGTTCTGGATCGCTCAGGGACGCTGACGTCAAGTGACCATCAAGAGGAACTGAGGGAGGGGTAAACTTCAGGTGATAAGTTCGTGTTTAATTCCACTCTGCAAATATCCACACAGACATTCTATTTATTCTTGATTAGCAAGCAGGGCATTCGCAATTGATGCCACTACTTCAGCAGCCATGGCAACTGCTGCGCAGCAGAGCTCTCAGGCTAGTAGTTCAGGGACTGTAGGGCCAACGGTCCCACAGCCCCTGAGTCAGTCCATTGGCATCATGGCAAGCCAGTCGTTAGTATTGACCCCTGAAGAGGTCGCCATACAACAAGCAGATGCCCAGGCGGCACAGCTACAGAAGGTTTTGGGAGAGACAAGTGGACCCACCTCAACATTTTGCGAAACACCGCAGCCATCAGTTGGACCCCATCTTTGCAATGCACCCCCACCGGACGCTGCCCAATTTCGCAAAATGCCCCGGCAGTTGCCAACTTTTCGTAGGCGCTATCGCAAAAGGCCAAGAAAATTCGCACACCCACCTCACAGGGGCATAACACAAACATGTCAGTTCAAAAGGCCATTCCACTGTACCCATATCCTTTCGGGACATTTTGACATATATCTCAACTTATGGGGGTATTTGGAAAATCATCCCCCCCGCCAAAAAAAGGGAGACATTCTCTCTCTCTCTCCCCCCCCAAAAAACGAGACTCTCTCTCTCTCTCTCTCTCTCTCTCTCTCTGTGTGTGTGTGTGTGTGTGTGTGTGTGTGTGTGTGTGTGTGTGTGTGTGTGTGTGTG